CGCTGTGCTGCCATGTGTTACAGTGTGCTGTATTGAATCAGATGAGCCAGGCCTGCTATTCTCCAGATTGACAGATGCTTCATGCCAACTGATTAATCTGCCAAAGCAGCACATTAGGAATTTCTGTGCTCTGCCAGCAGGCATAAAATTGAATCCAATCATTAAATGGAATCCAACGCCCAGACCAAAACCCGTTGAACGGCTCCGGGACGGTGCGGGTGGGGCCGGAATGGGGCGCAGTCGGCCGAAGCATCATTGACTAAGGTAAGCAGTGAGGTCATACCTTGGCCACAGTCAATGACAGCGTAATTCAAATCTCAAAGTTTTACTTCCCCGAAGACGGTAGCAATTGGAGAAGTAATTCACAAAGACTGGCGGGCTTTCGTGTATATCTCCAAAACCAAACGTATCATATCCTGCAAAGCTGCACCGAGAACAAACGCTCTTGATCAAACTGATGAGACTTGAGTTCATATACACCTAACAATATTGCATCTTCAGCATCATGGGCTTCGGCAATGAATACGAGGAGCAAGTTCGAGCGTGGGGTTTCGAGCGGGTTTTCACCTGGAGTGATTCGCCGTAAGTCTTCCTTACTGTTACGACTGCCCTAACAGACGAGGATTCTTGCAGCGTCTGCACATCACACATCCTTTCTGACACATGGTTATAGAAACACTCACTATCCACCACACTCACACGCCGCCCTTACGACTCATCTGATCGTCGAGGGTTCGATAACTCTTTGGTATCCGCAAGAAAAGGACAGCCAGAAGCAGGTATATGGCATAGGATCACGTATTGACGTCGATGCAGGAAGGGTTCATGAGGTCCAGGTTGGTGGAAGTGGCTGCACCCTGGTGATAGGTGAATGAGGAAAAGAGTGCAAGCTTCGGTTTTGCGTTGAGTTCTTGGGCTTGGTTCCCCCCACAAGGTCACTGAGTTCATGGCTTAAGGTGGCTATGCATTGTATATAGCAATGTCTAAGACTCAACAAGCATCTCACAGTCGCTCAAATTACATGTATGTTGAATCAACAGGGCGAAGTATAGTATTGATGCGTCATCTCCTGAGAGGTCTGACAGCATTTCGAATGTTTGAGCAGCCAAAAGAGTGAGAGGATAGAACGGGACTACCATGGTTGGACGAACAGGGAATCGAACCCTGGACCACTCCCAGATCAAGGGTTGACGAGCAACGAAGCCATGCTAAGGGAGTATTATACCACTAAACCATTCGCCCGGGATTTTCGAGTTGCGGCTTCGAAGGATCGAATATTCGCGCCCGGCAAGGTGGATACTGTAAAGTTCCGCTTGTACTCCGTAGGTTAGAGCATGTTTGGCGTCAGTTGAGGAAGTCCGGTCCAGGTTGCGTGCCTTATAGAAAGCCTGTGAATAGGCTAGTAAGAGCCAAAGAAAGTACTGCTCGAGGTTCTGTCTCTGCATCCTTGAGAAGAAAATCGCTGCGGGGAACGTCAAGAAGTGAAGAGGTTGGGTATGCATGTGAAGAACAATTGAGAGTTTGCTGACACGAATGCCACATCGTGGGCTGTTGGATATGTCTGAAGAGGCGGGCCAATGGCACACCGCATGTGAATGGGTGGATGAGCCCTCATGTCGATCCCGGAGAATTCGATGGTACGAGTTCGCGATTCCCATGTGGGTTTATTCTGCAAACATCATGCACTAGGAGTCCATGACTTGGTTTGATGATGTGATAATTGCGTCTTGTGTTAACCCTAATCTGTCAGCATACCATTCAGTGTCTGAGAGCCCCGATGTGAGAATGCAGTCGAGGGAGTTAGCTGAGCAACAGATGAAACGGTCAACACGGGTCGAAAGCAAAAAGCCATGATCAGACAAGTTCGCTTGTCATCTTGGATGTTAAATGAACCCATGTCGAGTGCCCAGGATGGGGCCCTGTCTATCTCCGCTTGACCTGTCGGCCGATGGATGGATCATGGATCCGATCCTTTAGGCTTGACCTTGAGCCGTAGCATTTCCCCACACTCAAGAGTCTCATTTCGTATAACATCATCCGGAGTATATTGTTGTATTGAAGATTCAAAGTCAAAGGTCCGGCGTCGTACGGATCAGGTTGGGAATGAGGCGAGCTCTTGTTTAATTAGACATCCACTATTAAAAAGGCGAAAACAGGCAATTCTATTAACTAGGTCTAAGTTTACCTTCGATGGCGGTCAGTCTTATCTGCAGAAGGCTTATTATAGCAAGGTGTCCAAAGTCGTTGAATATCTAGTAAACGGTAAACCTCACCTTACGCGCCAATTTGTGAGGGGTTGGAAAAAGGCCTCGTCATGCAATGCACGTCAGGATTTCTAAACTCTCGGCGGCATATGTCGGCCATGAAAGTCTGTTTGTCTTTATTCATGTTTATGTTGACATAAGTGCCAGAAAACTGGCAGTATAAGTTGACTAGCGCGCTCAACAAGAGGGGAGGCTCAAAGACTATTTGGCTTATGCGTGAGTAATTGGCTGCAAGGCGTAGTGGGCATGGCGAGCGCGTGTGTGGTTGTACGCGTGGATAAACAACAGAGTTTGTTGGTGACATTAACCGTGACCAAGTTTTGAACTTGAACTTAACAAGTATCAGAATGCCTGGTTTTGAGTGATATAATACTGCCATTGTATGAATAGAATGCTTGGGTACCTATAGTAAGCGGACGGTGTCGGTCTGACTTTGGTCTAGTCGGTTTATATGACTTACCTTGCGGATTTGGAGCTTTCGCCCTCTCCAAAGCAGTACCAGAGTTGGCTGCTAACCTCTTAGGTTACTTGAGCTAGCCTGGGGTAGATACATACCTAAGTATGGATCTATGGGTATCGTACGTTGAATGATGGATCCCATTTGAAATGCTCCGGTAGAGGTGGTAGGTGCGTTGAGTTATGTTGTGTTGTGCGGGCTGCTTTCGGTCTTGGTGGAGCATTGCTATTCAACATGATGAGATGACGGCATGGGGAAATAATGATGCAGCCATATCGTATCGCATCGTATCGTGTTGGGTGTAAGTCATGGTGCGCGTCGTTCTCCATTCTATAACATGCCGACTCCGATGATACAGCATCAGCATTGCATCGTATCCACGAGGAGGGCGCTCGGACGGCTTGCGTGTTTCGTTTGATGTGAGTTCTAGAGCTGACAATGACAATTGCAGCCGAGTCGGGTCGAGTCAAGAATAGGTTATATCCATGGCACTCGATCTGTAACGCTGCAGCTCAGCCTCTAGTTGGACAGCATCATGTCAGCTCTTGGTTGGGTGGCCTCGACCGACATGGAGTTTGATTTGAGCAAGACGAGACAAAAGAAACAGGTTCTGAGAAGGGGCTTGAGGTTTCCGAAAGAGAGGCCGACAGGGGGGCGTGAGCGAAAGCACTCCGCAACTTTGCAAACAGCCCGCCGACTTGTACTGTAATAAGAAAAAGCGGTACTGCCTGTTCTATAGTGAGCTTTATTGGCCAATATCGATGAATGGGATGCTATGGATTCATGTTTAGCAGGGTCGTCTATGAGACGGATAAAACAAAGGAGCTGGCGGAAGTCGTCCAAGATGATGATTTACACAAGCATAATTTCGCGGATCATCATAGTGTATGAGAATCCAAGACCTGATCGACCTGCCATCCCCAGAGGACACGACATCCATGTTCACTTCGCTTGTTGCTGAGGCTGCATACATGATTGTAACTCAATTCTCGTGTTCACTCCAGATGGATGTGGTTGTTGAAGGGTTGATCGAGTGCAAGGTAGAGTGACGGGTTCGAAGCCCACCTCATGGCGGAAACTCAATTGTACCTACCTACTATTTAGGTGCTAACCTACTATACCTAGGGAGATAACCTCGGATGATCGCTGAACAGGACTCGCTAAAATCAGCCTCCAACGCATAAATTGTGAGTGGAGATGACTTGTTGTTATCTCCAGGCTTCAGAGATGCATTGAAACCTTGGCGCCTCTGAATCGAGGGCATTTTTCCGAAGTCAATTGCCCTCCCAACCAGTTCATTGGCTGCTGGGCGGTTGCCAAAACGTGCAATCCAGTCCAATCGTATTAGGATCGGAAGTATCGATGGAGGTGCCTTGGCTAGTGCTACCTACCTGCCTTAGCTCGTCCTCTGGTGGGTGACCTTTTGGTGACCATTAGGTGTGTTCGGCTAAGGCTGCTTGCTACCTTAACCTCCAAGCTCTCCAAGCTCCACTCTCTTCCCGTCATATCATAGCTCCTCTACCTAGCTTACCTAGTTCCTCTCCAACATGGGAAACTTCAGAGTTCGTCTAATCCGGGAGTGACATGGACGCGCAGCTCCTCTTTTCTTGCATGTGTCCCCTCAGCAAGTTACTCTTTTCATCACATCGCATCAGCGCTATTCTCCGCTCTACTCCCTTCGAGACTGTGGTCGCTGGTGCTGTGCTGTGCTGTTTGATGCGAGCGTCTCGTCTCGCCTCGTCCGCTCCCTGTCCAGTTTGGTATGGTTTGGTTATGGTCTCACCCCTCCCATGGATCTCATACCTCACCTTAACAACCAGGATCTCCTTGTCCTTGCCCGGGAGTTCCCCTCATGCGACGCCGACTTTCAAATCAACTCCGCCAAAAATGCCATGGATCTTTAAACTCGACTCCACCTCGTCCAACCTCCCCTCTCATTCTCTCACTCTCTCTTATTCTCTTCTATTCTAATATCACCGAGCTTCTTTCTTATTCTCAATCCTCCTTCTAGATCATAGACTAAGCAATCAACCAGCTTTACGAATATATACTCCTCCATCCTGTATATTGCGAAGCTTGAGCTTCAGCTTCAATTTCATCCTTCCTCGCGGCTGAATAGAAAGACGGGATAATTCGTGTTTGACGGCATGGAGGCGTTTATGTACCAGTGAACGGTCGTTTCTGCTTGTTGAGGCATCTCACAAGCTCTCTTACGAGCAACCAACCTTCTCTCCTTCCGATATCATCTCACGAGCAAGGAGTTGAACCAGTTTGGCCCAATGGGCAATGAACAATCCGCCGAATCCCCTCGCGGGCATCGGAAACTATCCAAACCACCTCACTGCAGCCAGGCATCTGCAGCTGGTCTGCCATACACTGCTACTGCTGTGACACCCCATCGTGAGCACTTCTCCAACTCGTATCTGGTCGGATCGCTGCCGCCTGCTCCCAATAAGGCTTCTACAACGAGAAGAGTGGCGCCTGGGCTCGGTATAGCCGTCCCAGCTGGTGACGCTTCCAGTCCTATACAATCACCTACATGTAGAGACCCCATGCGCGATTTGGAATCGCGTACGCGGTCTATCCAGTCAGAGCAGCCTCCTATACTGCCAGCTTTTGTCAACAGCTCCAGGACCAGCTCTATTGCTCAGGATAGCAGCTACCGCACGCTGACGCGCGCTGATAGGTTTGTGCAACATGTTTCCATGTCGATAAATAGAGCTAACTGCCTGGAAATAGCATGCCTGTTGCAGTACGGCGTGACTCTGCAAGCTACGATACGAGAGCTGTCGAGGCCAAGAAGCTTCTTAATGCAAAGGAGAAGCTCCCAAGCGAACCCGTTATCTCCAAGTCTAATAAGCATTCTGATGAGGCAAGTCAGGATGTGACTGATGATAACAATAACGCCACCCAATCTGCAGGTTCGTCCATTAGCAGAACAAATTCAGACGTCTCTCTTTACATGCCAATGCGCCGCCGCTCGGTCGTTCAAACTCCAGGCATAGCAACCAGGGCTCATCATTCCAACCCCCCAGTCTCAGCCAAGTCGAGTTTCCGCAAGAGTCTGCCAGCTACACCCTCTCAGTCCAGGCACAATTCGATAGAATCTGGCATGGGGAGACGCATGTCAATGCCTACGAAAATCCCTTCCCAGGCAAAATCCCCGGACCGAGCCGTAACGCCGGTCGAAGCTGACTATAAACAGCTAGGTGGTATGAAGTTTGGATCCCTACGCATCACAAACGGGGCCCCCGGAACTTCTCCAATGCCTGAGGATGACGTCAAACAGCAAGGGACTTCTGAGTCGGCACTAGCAATCCCTCGGTCGGAATACTTTCATGAGCAAGCCAAAAACCCACTCAGATTGATGAATCAGGGCTCGACCATGACAGATGCCAATGAGCTAACGACGGGTGAGAAATCACTTACTTCTCGAGTCGCAAGCTGTGTTACCGAGTGTTTGAGCGATGCAGAAAAATCTAGAACAGGCGATGGCGGAATGTCTGGGAACGGGAATGCTGTCTCATTTCCGGTTGCTGAGGTTCTGGAACTAAGGGAAGATCCAAATGCAAAGCCCTACCCCAAGAAAATGCAACTTGGACTCGAAAACAAAATGCTTAAAGGATTGTCAAGATCTGATAGTGGCTTCATTCCAAGTCCTTCGTCGGAGAAAACTCATCGCTCTGCGTCTCGAGTCGACAGTGGTTACAGTTCCAATGTCTCTCTTCGATCATTGCCCAGCCTGAGATCCGGTGTCACGGACAAGAACACAATGGCCTCCGAAAAGCTTGACGTGGACATGTCCGGGATGTGTTCGCCCTCGGATTCGAATTCGACTCGTACTTCTTCCTTAGTACCTTCTCAGACACATAACCGGCTGCCTATCCACCTTGAGGTCCCGTTGTCGTCGACAGACGATGATACCTCTTCGACTTGTCCAACAAGCCCCTCGAGTCCTGCTAGTCGTCCATTCTCGCCATTTAGTCGTGGTAGCCGCATGCGCCTCTCTTCGTTGAAATCAAACAAGAGTTTCGAGCCAAGGGTGTCGAACACTGCGACAGCACCAATCGTTCTTTCCAAAGGAGACTTTCGGGAACAGTTGCCTTCGCCGGCCGCAGATGTTAGTCGTGGTGGCAGTAAGATGTACCGATTCCTGAATGGCTCCCGCAAGAAGGGATCCCTTAAGAAAGGGGAAGTGACTACGATCGAACAGGACGTCACTACCGATCCTTTAGGGCTAAAGACGGGCTCCATACCTAAACCCAACCGACCTTTGCTTCGAAAGGAGCCGAGCAAGGACACTCTGCATACTATTTTAAGTGTTGGGAGCCAGGATGCGATTGGGAGTACAAGGCGCGGGGAGGACGTAGCGCGAGGGGTCAAGAAGACCGTTGGCAAGAAGATGTCTCGACGTCAATCGTGGCGCCAATCCATTGCTCAGTTATTTGGTACTCGAAGCGCGGACGCTAGCCCTGCCTTGAGTTCCATACCTGAGCCTGCGCCCACACCAAGGCGCCCATCAACTGCTATGGAACTTACTTCTCGCCCTTTCAATGCGGCTCCCAGCCCTCGAGGTGTGAGCTCATGGTCATCTCGCCCAGCACCAAGAAAGGCTGCCAGTAGCTCTGGCAGCTTAGCTCTAGAAACCCGGAAGATGGCCAATAAGTCGAGCATACAGGAGAGCCGCGACAAGCCAGAGCTAGCTCATCTTCGCACGAATGTTTCCACACCTAACTTGTCAGCGAAACGTCGATCATCCCTGAGTCCATCTGCGCTTGAGGTGGATCAGACGCTGCGAACAAAGACTTCACCACCGGTGAGTATGCAGAATCGAGGCAGTAAGCCTCCCAAAGCAAAGTCACAGGCGCAAAATCGAGCTATGACACCTTCTTTCCCTATTAACTCCCGTCCGAGCGCTAGTCGTCGACTCTCGTTACCCCAAGATTATGGACGAATGACACCACACATCCGTCAGATCTCACATGGCCGCACCGAGTCACGCAGCTCCAGTCGAGGCATGGTCATGAGTCCTACCGCGGGTTTAAGCTCCCAGCAAGTCAATGCTGTTCAACACTCCAGAGTTTTGTCATACTCGAGTAATGGTACGCAACAGAGTGGTCCTGCTGCCCAACAAGTCAAGCACCATCGGCGAGTATCAGCACCTGCGCAGCCGCACCAGATTGCCAACATGCCGCGCTCTCGGAGCAGCACTACACTTATACAGATACAGCAGCAGCAGATGCATCAGCAGCAGATGCTACAGCAACACCAACAACGACGGCCTCGAACATCTGTCCAATCATGGGCCCCAATGGACATGCACAGCCTCAATCAGCAACTGCAGCAGAACTATATGATGCAGAACCAAGCTCTTGTCTATGGTGCACCAAACATGGTTCAACAATACCCAAACATCTATGTTACAAGCCCAGTCCCAAATAATCCTGTTCATGGTAGACAGGGTTCCCAGGGTGGGATGTACGTTCAAGATCCCCCTTTTCGGGTCCTCCACAGCTATAATTCTCCAGCATATCGAAACGTTCCTATATGGAGCCAGTAGCTCAGAGCCTCAACAGTTGGCTCGCTTAGTTCTTTGGTTTGATCGAGATACCATATATGATGAAAATGGTTTACAATTTCATTGACTCTTTTACTGCTCGGCGTTTTCGGGTAAAGGCAGCCTTTCCTTAAATACTGGAATTGTCCCACAGCGTCCACACGCATTCCTTCGTTCATTCATTCAATCAGTCACACACTGTCTTTCATTCTAAGAAATTGCATGTACAATTTTACGACCACATGGAAAGTGTTAGTTATCAGGCTTGACAGCTTGTGTTAATCTTAGTAGTTTGTTCTTGAAAAGCATGGTCTGTTAGGCGATGTATGATTCAATATGCTAGCTTTACTATCTCACAGCGCATCATTAGCCCGCACGGAGAGAGGTGTTGATAGGAAATGCAATTCTCATAGTGCAAACCTATTTAATGACTTGGTATCTCTATATCTCCGTTGAAACCATTTGACTATTGTGTGTATGAACTAGTCCGGATAACCTCATGACAGACGGCAGACTGGCTGGTTCGCTGTCCCTACATACGCGTGCGCATCTGATGCTTGCTTAGCCCTGCTACTTGTGGGTATGATCTGGAAGGCTACGGTTACGAGATAGGGGTAGAAGAAAGGGATTAGTTGGGCTGATATTAAGCATCCCCATGATTCCCGACACAGCCTCACATAGATCGACAAAAGGATCCAGCTAGAGTGACGTAACATCAAAGACACGTTACTGCCCGACTATCGATATGAAACAAATCAACGATGAGACCACGATAAAGGATCTGAGTGGTTGATGAGACTTGTTTAATGGAAGCGAGGTTGACGATACAGTAGTTGGGCTGGTCTGGCTATCAACAAAGCGTGACTGCATAGTAAAAATCCTTCACACCACCCACCATAAGCAAGGAGGAACTTGGTGACAGGTCACACCTCCACATGGAACCATGAAGGGCCACAGGGGCAGAGGCCTTACGAACACCACCACGGTTCTCAGACAGTTGTCGTTTTAGTACGTGGGGAGGGATGGAGGTCTAGCACGATGCTGTAAATTAAGAACAAGAGACAACGGACAACACGTCGTAGAAGGTGGGTTTCTCATGGCTATAAGATCTTCTGGGGAGCAATAGCATGACGACAATGGAGACGGATGAAAAGACAAAGAACGAAAGAATAGCTAGAATAGGTAGATATCTTCCTCAAGGTATGATTGGCGATCCGGGAAGACGGGGAGTTTTTGGCATGGCGTTCCGGGGGGGTCAGGTTCTTTGGTGGGTCGATGCTATTTTTGAATGGATACATACCAAGCATCGTTTTAGGGGACATCCATGCATCTGGCATACGTGATGCGCGTTTCCCCATCGGACGACGCCAGCCTCCCGTTTACTGCTTCGTCTTTGATCCCCCAGACAATGATAGAGTGGATAATCACTTGATGGAGATAATACTGTAATTTCGTTGACAAGACCCTGACGATGAGCTATGTCATAATAATGGGCCAGGGCCTGGAGGTAGCCCTTTGTTCATGGCGTCTGGGCGCCTCCTGACATCCATGTGTTTGTCTACATGTGAGCAGTTGAGTGCAGAAGGGTGATGACGACGACTCCTAGAGGGTTGGTTGACAGGGGTGGGAGACCCATTCGAGATGGATGTTATAGCCAGTCTGATTTGAAAGCTGCGAAGCGTACAGAGTATAGCTGAGTCGAGTATTTTGAGGAACGCAACGCTTTATGGAGAAAAACTGTTATGAGAAAAGGACGTCAAGCTATACCAATTTGGAGGAGTCGGGAATGTTTCATTCATCATATAGTTAGTCGGTAAATACCTACCTAACTGATGTCCCCCTATCAGGAACAACAGCGCACTTGCATATAAACACAATTCTCATGTATTATTCAGGGGACCGTGCAGAAACAGAAACAATAGATCGCCCCAAAAACTGGCAGAGACAGGCTCGTAGTCGAATCGGTTAGTGACATCTACCGAGACGAAACGCTGGTTCTATTATGTGGCTTTCTGACTGAAGTTCCGTCCATAGGTATCGGCACGGGCAACCTTAAAAACAAAATCGAAAGTCCTCCACTGATATTAAACCTAACCCAGCTTCGAGCATGGTCTAGACACGTCCGTATCAGTGTGGCCGCCACCAACGGGCTATCAGTTTCGGTTAGCTAGGTGGTCTCAGGCGGCTCTTTAGGTGAAGTTTTTGGGGCATGTCACCCAAACGCACCCGACCTCAGCAGTGGCCTGCCCAGTCTGCTAGGGCAAGCACAGCCTCCATCCAGTACCACCGGATCCATGCAGGCAAATACGAGACGACCTCACAAGTCTCTGACCCATCTTTCCATTCCATCCATCCATCAAGTTACCCATATTTTTTCTTTGTCTGCCTGCCCTTGTCTCTTTATAAGCCTCACCTCCCGTCGGTGCCGTCACACAATCTTTACTCTCGTGACTCCATTCTCCTCCGTATTACTCACTCTCGCTTTTCTGTCTTTGTTATTTCCTCTATCGTTTAATTTAACATCGTATCCCAGCTCAGCCTTGGCTCGTCGATCTTACTCTCGCTCACGCAACTCATTTGGCATCAAACGACTCTATCTCCTGCGAATACAGAACCAGTCTTATTATTCTTCATCTCACGCCTATTTGTTCAGGTAGTCACAAACGACGATTTGACACAACTCTTGATCACGGATATCCCGTTTCCTCACTTGGCTGTGTATCGCTCTGGACGTTCGCGTCAGCGACAAGTTTAAAGCGTCATTACGCCTTCGTTCCCCTTAGTAGCTGTGAGCCAGGACGACACCCTCTACATCTCAGCTGGCATATCCTGCCTACCTAGCCAACCTTTCTTTTCGCAAAACACTCCACAACCTCAGTCGCCATGTACATGACACGCCTTGTGAAGCTGCTAATGGTAGCTCTTGCCGTTGTCTGCGTCGCTCAGGCATCATGGATTGATCTCAACAAGATTCACTTGCGAGAGCGTCGACTCGTCCGCAGAGCAAGCCCAAGCCAGTCCGACGACTCTCAACCAAGCGCAACTGCACCTGACAGCAATCCTTCAGCTACTCAAGCAGACCCAGCATCCGATCCTGCTCCTACTGATGCAGCTGACCCTACCTCGGACGAGTCTGCCAAAACCGACGCTGAGGCTACTCAAGCTACTAACGAGCAAACAAAACCATCTGCCACTGATGCCGAGCCTACCAACAACGATTCTGCAAAAACAACCGCTGCTGATACCTCCCCTACAAACGCTTCTCCCACCAGCAAGCCCGCCGAGAAGTCTAGTGCTGCTGATACCAAGCCCTCCGAGACAGCCGCTGCCACACAATCTGAGGCTACCGACAACGTCGAGTCATCGGCTTCTGCCACTGACGCCAAGACTGCTGCTCAGTCCACAGCCAACTCCCCAGCAGCCACCAGCACCTCCAGCAACAACCAGAACAGTGACGACGCCAGCAGCACCGCCAGCGAGAACAACGATGAGGCTTCCAGCACTGCCGCCGAGAATAACACCCGAACTACCGCTAGGCCTGTTACCTCTACGCACGTCGCCGTCGTCACAAGGACAAACAGCGATGGTAATCTTGAGACCATGACCACTACGAGTGTGTCCACGTCAACACCTGGCCTGAGCGATGGTGATGACGACGGAAGCTCTTCGGGCATGTCGGCCAAGACTCGCAACACAGTCATTGGAGTTGTTGTCGGTATTGGTGGTGCAATTGTCGTTGGTGCCCTTGGCCTTGTCGCATGGCGAATTTGGGGGCGCAAGAAGCACCAAGAAGAAGCCGATGGTCTCATGGACTTCAACGAGAACAATAGCCGTCCTAGCAGCAACGGCCCTTATCACAGCGTTGAGAAGACTGAGTACGGGAGTGTCGGGAGCTCGGGGCCTCAACGCAGCCCATTCCAATCCACGCTGGACACATATCACCAGCCAACGCCAGTGAACGCCTCGTCCAACTTCTAACGACGGAGTCCCATATTTTCTTTGCATCGTTAATAAAAAGCATTCTCTTTTCCTTCATGTTTCACACTTTCCACCATCCGTTTCGATGGAGGTCATCGAGGTCATGGGCGTTTCGGACACGAATATTTTTTTCTCAGGGGAGTAACATAGAAAGTGCTGTACGAATTTGATAACGAAAGTCACGGCTGCAATCGGCTGAAGCAGCATACATCCCTGGATCCCAGAACTTTGCGGTATTTGGGCAAATCATTTGCAGCATGCATGGTCTGGTTCATGGTTCCAAGTTTTGGGCTGTCTGGGCTTGCTTGATCATACTGCATATAACATGGACTTCCTCCATGCCGCAGCCAAGCCAGTCATTCACATCCACTACATAATGGGATTGTTGTATGTAGAAACTCAATTAATAATATGTCAAGCCTGGCTTGTATATTGTGTCTTGAAGTCGAGCATGAGTGAGGTGGATCTTATGAGTGTACATGAAGCAAGCGGTGTTTCTGCAAACATCCAATGCGATGAGGTCAGTTATTGTTGATTTGACAGTACCTTTAGTATCTATATCTGGGTTATATGATTTTCTCCTGTGTCGTGGGGGCTTTGTCTGATGATAATCACCGTAGTGAGAGCTTTAGATATAGGGTAAGGGCGCTGGTAATTTGGGGTGCACCCTTACTTTGACCCTAGCATACCTACCTAGAAGCCCTTGTAGGCCCGAAGCGGAAGAGCCGATAACCCGTGTTCCTGAACTGACATCCATTCCAAAAGTTAACGACGGTGGAGGCCCAAGCTAGCTCAAGGTACGGGCGGGTGCGGCCCCGACCTTTTTAAGGGTCCTAGTGGAGAGGTAAGAAAAAAAGAAAGGGGCAAAAAAAAAAAGACTTTCGATTCCTGAGATCTGAGTACGAGAAAGGAAAGTTTTGGAGATAGATGGGCATGATTGTTAAACACCTTATTCCGTTGGGCAATATCACGATGATGGTTACATATGAGGCAAAGCTGGCTGGGAGGGTTATGATGAGTTGTCAAACTGAACCACACCTGAACTCCGGGGAAATGATTGACCTGGACTGATTCAATGCGAATCCACTTGTCCATTGACTTATCCCAAGATGGATGGGACTGTGCAGGCATGTTCACCCTCGAACCATGGAAGAAGAAATAGAAGAGTGTTAGAACCCGGGCTCAACAGTGCTGTCGCGTACTGATACAGGCACTGGCGGCCAGTAATGCAATACCTGCTACTCTGCTCCGTAGTTTGGAGGTCGTAAATCATGAGCAAATGAAAAGAGTAGCCTTATTAGTGACAACGACGCAGCCACCGGCTGAACCAGTTGTTGTGCTCTAGAATTCTGAAGACGGGTTGTGTTGAAACTGCTAGTTACTAAGGTACATGTGAAAATGATGAGTGATACACCATCAAAGCGCAATTCGCAACGCAGACAAAAGGTATTCCCTACCAACCTACTCCGTATCGTCTGTCGAGTTCTTCGGTTCGAAATTCTCCCAAGATGCCAGGGGCCCTTGGCGAAATTACGTCGTGGCCAGTGCGGGTACCGACTGGAGCGGGTCTCATTACAGAATAGCTCCCCTTTGAAGATGTTCCCTGTGGACGAGGCTACAGCGCCTCTCCCAAGTGGCCAACTGTTCAGTGTCTGAATTGGATGATTTGCTGTCAATCCTTGTGCTCAACAGCGTCACCAAAAAGGAAAAGCTGGGACAGCACACACGCCCAAACTTGGAAGTGGCCGCCGACCAGCGCAGGTGCGAGAAAAAACCCACTGACACCAGAGGCAGCTGCATGTGCAGGTACAGACAGTTGGTACTCGACCCTCTCTTGACTCTACCTAGTCCAAGTTAGCATGAAGTCTTGAGCTGCCTCGTCCACTCATTGTCAAACAAAGCTCTCGAGGGCTCATCTAATCTCATATCGCGCCCCTCGAATGAGAGACATCTTCAATTTGCTCTCCTGTTCCTCTCTCACGCAACTTCCTCCTTCTTCCTGTTAATGCTGGCCGCCCAACTTCGCAACTGACAACATTCCCAAAAACCCCGATGTGTCCGGCCGGTATCATCCTTTTCTCATCTTTGCTGTCTTCTGGCCACTCTTTTTTTCTCATGAAGCTCTTTTCTTAGGTTCTTGATAGACACTTTTTTTTTTCTATTACAGTATTTCGCGTGACACCCCTGGAAGCCAGTTTCCACACCCCGGAAATTTCCCACCTAAATAGCTATCGAGGCAAACCATCATTCCGTCCGCCCCCTTAAGTTGGACAACGCGTCGCGTAGTATTCAAATATATCTCGACCGTTAGGAATTATCGGCCACGATTACGGTTTCGCAAACCTGTGTCCCCTCCCTCAGGCCTTCGAGATCGGCTTTTCAACTGCGCGACCGACCTTGAGAGAAAGGACTGGCTCTATTTGAGACTCAGCTGCAGACATACTCTTAGTCTGCACTGATCTCCCTGGGTGAGTAAACCGAAACACATTTTCCTTATTTCGGTCTTGGACATGTATGAGCTGGCAGAACACACATTCATCTCCAGACGCCACTGCATAACTCACAGTTGCTGACCGGGTCCGCCACCAAACAAACAGGCCGCTGTAAAGACGTCTTCTACAACGTTGTCGGCTGCTCCTCCTGGTGCATCCGCACAGGACGGTCACGGAGCCTCATACTCTCGATCCCGCCCTGCCTCACCGGCTTCTCCTACACTTTCGAATACGTCAACTGTTGACGGCGAAGAGGAGGTCGAATCTTCACCAGTTCTTCCTCCGCTTCAAGCTCCTCGACTTCCGGAAAGAGCTTTACAATTTTTGAGGACACCACCTCCCGACGAAACCCAATTTGGTACTGCCAGCTGGGGATCTCCCTATCCCCAGTCAGATCGCAACCTTCGTCGTCAGAGCTCCGGAAGTGAAGCCTCGGACGACTCACCAATTCACCACCTGGATATTGAGACCCCTTTCCTACGCCCAATTCCTGATCTGCTACGTTCACAGTCCGACCCGCCAGGCTCTTCGCTGAGTGCTGCCGCCGCCGTCCTCGCGAATCGTGCTCGACGGCAGACTCGTGGTCTTACTGAGGATTGGATACGTACGCACACCACTGACGACCCAAACGAAGAGAGTCGACACTGGTTCAGTGACGGAAGTGGGAGCGAGCACTCTTCGGCGAGCGGCTCTGAACCTGGCTGGTTAGAAGAGGGCGAAGCGCGCACTCCCCGACCCATCCAGAGAACAAGGGATCTGTCTCGAGAAGGATCTGGGCACCATCCACGGGCCAGATCTAGCATCGAGACTCTCCGACCAGGAGATTCTCTCAGTCCCAAAACGGGACAGAACAGCAGTATGGCGACCTCCGAAGCCGCGCCAGTAACGCACGATGCGGCGAGCGACAGGTCTCAGGCCGCCTCCACCCCGGATGTACCTGTCGCAGAAAGTCCAAAGAAGCGTGTCCCCAGTTCTACCGCCAATGGGGAGCCAGCGCTGCCTGCAACACCGATGAAGGGCACTCAAAAACCTCTTCCTAAAGAACCAGCACCAACGCCTCGACTAAAGAAGAAGGTTCCATGGAGAGGCAAGAACATCATGGTTCTCATACCGCGAGACACTGAGCGAGGCCAACCTGGCCATGCACCCATGCCCTTACGTCAAGATGAGACAGAGAGGATGTTTTCATCATGGGAAGAGCTTGGATATGACATCTCAGGCTTTGACTTGGAAGTAGAGGGCTATCAGGTTGAAGGCACAGCGGATTCTCAAACCCGAGATTCCTGGCCAGATTTTGATGAGGTGGTTAAAGAGAGGGAAGAGCGCAGCTTCAAGGTTACCCTTCCCGATTTGAATGCTTGGAAAGATTATATGAATGAGCTTCAGGAAGCCAAGTTGCGCGCTCTTGGCGTATCTTTTGGTGATGATGAGCCCGAGCAACCTTCTGTCTCTCCTGCGACAACAGACCTCAGCCGCCAACCCTCCGGCCAGTATCCCCCTCTTCCATTTTCTCCCCCTCTACCCACTTCGTCGGCCTCAAGTAACCATGGTATGCCGGGCTTCCAACCAGGCCATTTCGTACGGCCTTCGACGCACAGTCCAGGTCTTTCTCATGGTGCCTCACCACTTTCTTTCGCTGGCATGCCCGGTAAATTCAACCCGCGGCAATCCATTTCGTTCCCTGCCAACAGCTCACCATTTGGCTTCCAACAACAATCGCCATCGGGTTGGCCAGGGCTTAACCGCCATGACTCGCCTTCTCTCATGGGCATGATGTCTCCTCAGTCCCCCTTCGGAGCAGAGAGTCCTGCTGCCATGAACCTGCACCAGCGTCACCAGTCTCTACAATATCCCATGCTGCCTCATCAGCAATTCTCATATTTGCAACCTGCTCGGAATTCACCTCGCCTGCAAGAGGTCCGCGAAGATGAGGAGGAGCCTGCTAGCAAGAGCCCATCAAGGACGCCTGAACCCCCTCAGCAACAGAACACGGATACTCTCCAGGCCGAGATTGATGATGCGGAGTACCACTTGGAAGAGCAGCTCCGCAACGAACTGGAGCACGAAGATTACAACCCCCAACCCCAAAACGAGCAGCCTGCTACCCTCCCAGACCCGTTTGTCCCGGCTCATGGTCCTCAAGCATCTGGTCAATTCACTGTCCAGGAGCGATTCGCCAGTGAACAGTCTAAACCCCTGGTCCTGCATCATCCTCGACCTCACAGCCGTGGCCACTCACTATCACAGGGTTACTTCCGTGATCACAACGAGAACAGCGTCACTGCTGATGAGAGCAATCTCACTAAGTTCAGCAGCCTGAATGAAATACCAGAGTCCCACAAACCTGATGATGTCTATGAGATCGAGACCAATCCCAGCAACCTGGGCACACCTGTCCAAGAATTTGATTTCCCTGGATTTGGTCATCAGAAGAACTTTTCAACAGCTAGCAATCCATGGAACGATGCTGGGTCAGTTGATAGCGGCAATAAGATGGATCGACGCTCCAGCCATGCCAGCAAACCATCGCTGTCAAAGCTTAATGTGCAAGCACCTGAGTTCAAGTTCAACCCCACGAGTTCCTTCACTCCTGGCCAGTTTGACTTTGGCAGCAAGAGCAATACCTTCCAACCTGGTGCCAGTAGCTTTGAGCCGGCAGCTAGTACATTCCAGCCCGGCGTGACTAGCTTTCAACCTGGCGCGAATGCTTTCAGACCTGGTGCTAGTAGCTTCCAACCAACTGCCAACACCTTCCAGCCTATGGCGAGCACCTTTGAACCTGGCAAATTTCAGGGTGCCAGTTTTGAGGCATCTGGATTCCAGCCCTCAGTGTTCCAGGCGAACACTCACATTTCTGATACGAATATGTTTACGTCACCTCCTGCAAAACAGCCTACACATGTTACACCTGCCAAAATTAACGTCAATGCGCCGGCTTTCTCCCCAGGCGACAGCTCCTTTAGCTTTTCAACATCAGGCCCTAAATTCAACGTCGCTGCGCCTACATTCACCCCTCACTCTAATGCCTTTACAAGCCCAACCAGTCAGGGCCATGGCAGTATCTTTGGAAGCATTGACCTTTCTTCAAGTGACATGCAATCGAACAAGAAGTCGAAGGCTATCCCCATCAGGAGACCGTCCAGTCAATCATCTGCCAAGTCTGATGAAGCCGAGGTGCAGTTTGATGCTGACGGTCGGCCTTTGGCTGATGAGAACAGAGTCAAGCGAGCACGTAGCTCTGCACCTGGCGGTGATGATGTGCCATTATTTGCTGAACAACCTGCCCAGACCGATGGGTCAGCGGAAGAAACACAGGAAGCCACACAAGATGACCATGTTCTCCCTGCTGACACGTCAATGTCTTCTATTGTCACCTCGGACCAGATCGACACCAAGGCCACTACAGCCGCTCCGTCTGCGGCGCCTTCAGTTACATCCGCAAACGAGAATAATAACTGGAAGCCATTTGAGTTTGATTCCAACCAGGATATTCAGAACTTTAACGATGCTCGACCATTTGGTGAAGATAGCTTCAAGCACGAGCACAAGAAGACTCTCTCTGCCGCTGCCGAACCTTTTCAGCCTGGGGCGAATTCTTATGGAGAAACCACTCAGACTGAAAATGAAGAAGAATCGGACGCCTCTCCCGTGGCCAGCCCGATGCCAGCCTGTGCTCCTCCTGGGCTTAATACTTCTCGTCTCAACACCAGCCAGCCTCCACCGAGAACTGCTTCTAAGGGGCTTGGTGCTTCACGGTTTGCTGATCCTCCTAAGCCTGCTAAGGGTCTCGCTGCATCCCGATTCGCTGGCAGCCCGACTCCCGGCGAGAAGCCTCTTCCCCCTCCACCCGTTGAAGACGATGTTGTCGAATCAGTGGAGGAAGAGCCTAAGCCTGAGTTGTCTGCTACTGTAACGCATCCTGCTGGCCGTGGCAACAATGAGCCTACATTTGAGGAGATCGACGCCGTTATGGATCAATTCTTTGATGATCCTACGATGGGTGTCAACAAGACTGTCGAAAACTCACAGTGGCAGCAATCTAGCCCAGTTCGCACTCTTGCATCTATGGCTACCTCCTCTCCCTACAAACTGGAACCTACTGCCGATCAGTATAACCGCGACGAATCCAGCTTGACGCCTCGGGAGTACCATCCGCTTTCAGACGCTTCTGCTCAGCCGGTACCAAGCACCGAGCTAGAGGACCCATTCTTAGATCCTCCCGGAACACTGATCACTGCCGGTGGTGCTGAGGCTGTTGACGGCGAGAGCCTGCCCGCTAGTGACTGGGAAGCCGCCTTTACCGAAGACGAGCATGACAAACTGGAGGGCCGAGCACAGTTCTTCGATGGACGTGTCAATGAAGTTGTTGGAAATCTGTTAGCCTCACGCCTGGAACCTCTGGAGAAGACACTCTTCTCCATCCAGCAAGTCTTGGCGACCCGAGCTCGACGTACACCTTCTTCCCGACGCGACATGCGCAGCGTCTCTGCTGAGCTCCAGCAGAGCGATGCCGATGACGAGGATGAAGAACCCGTTGTTCGTCGCTCGATGAGTCCTCGACGGGACAGACGTCTGGACCAGATTCGGATTGCTGTTATGGAGGGTCTTCAAGCTCAGCAACGCAGCAAGCTTGAGGCATCCCCTGCCCCCCTTTCTGCACCAGCCAGTTCCGAAACACCGCCCACTGCTATCCTTGAGGCCCTCGAAGGACTTAAGCAGGAGGTCACGAACAACGCAAACCGTGATAATGGTCTAAAGAAGATGATCCAAGAAGTCATCGAGGCACGCATACCTGCTGCCCCCAAGTCCGAGGAGGTAGAGAACGCTAAACTCACTGAGCTTCAGGATAAGATTACCGATCTTGAACAGCGTCTTTACTTTGAGCAGACCAAGGTTGAGAATGAGGTCTCTGAACGTCGGGCGGCCGAGGACTTGGCGTCTGAACTCATGCGCAAGCTTCAAACTGCCGAGACCCGTATTGAGGTCGAGATCATCAACCGCAGCGTTTTCGATCAGCGCGTAGCCGACTTGGAGGAGAGGCTTAGGGGAGCTGAAGAACTCAGCGAGGATTCAGTTGTTGCCCGCCGTGCTGCTGAGGATAAACTTACTGAAGCCCGTGTTCAGCGTGAGATAGCTGGCGAAGAGGTGGTCCGTCTGCGCGAGCTGGTCGAGCAAAGAGATCATAAGCTGCGTTCACTTGAACAGGCAAATAGCAAAACTGCTATGCGCATTGCACTCTTGGAGGCTGCTCAGAATAACGCCACTCAGGCTCAGCACGAGGCTGTTGCCAAGTGCAAGGGCATGGAAGTTGAGCTCAAGGATGTTCGACAAGACAACCACCACTGGCGTGCAGAGGCAGAGCGATATGACGAGTCTGCTCGACAGAAGGGTGCCGAGTTAATCCGTGCTCTCGAAGACAACCAGCATATGCAGAAATCTTTGACTACTCTTACGACACAACTTGAGGAGAATGAACGTGTTCGGGAAATGTGGCGCGGCAAGTTTGTTTCGCTTCAAGAAGACATGGGACGGGCGGCTCGGGAGATTGCAGAAGATAACGCCCGCCGTATCAAGAAGGATCAAGCTATGCTTGCTAGACAGGAGGTCTTGGATGCTCGTCTTCAGGCTGAGGCTAAGACCCGAGAGCGCTTGGAGATTGAGATGGAGCGTCTGCAGTCGAACGAGCGAGCTGGTATGCGTGCAACTAATGAGTGTTCTCGTCTTGAAGGCATTATTGGCGAACTGAAGACGGAGAACCACAAACTCGAGCAGAAGGCTATGCGTTACCAGCGCGAGTTTGAAGAAGCTCGCGAGTCTGGTATGAGTGAAGTCAAGCGGACCCGCATGGCGTTGCAAACCGAGATCGACGCCGCTAATAACCAAGTCAACTACATCCGCGAGGAGCTCGAGGAGCATAATTCTAAGCTTCGCGCTGAGCTTGATAACGTCAGACTCGAAGTGGATACAGCCAAGGCCCAGAATGAGATGCTTCTTGAAGAGGCTGAGAACAGCAAGACAGCTGAAATTGAAGAGCTTATGCGAAAGCACCAGAATGAAATTGAGGATCTCCAGACACGGTACGAGCGCCGGGTCCACAACGCTCAGGAAGACGCTCACAAAGCCGAACAACACCTTCTGGAGCGACTTAGCCTGTCTACGTCCAAGACCGAGCATCTTCAGGATCGCATCTTACACCTTGAAGATAAGCTGGAGATTGCCAAGCAGGCTGCTGCTGCTGCGGCTCAAGCTGCCAAATCCGCTGGTGCTGATGTCAACATCACTGTCGCCCAGCCTAGACAAGCATCACGAGATCTCGAACCTCATGAGAGAATCTCTCCCCAGGCTCTTCGTGAATCTATCATGGTTCTCCAGGAGCAACTTCAGGCCCGCGAGCAACGCATTGAGGAGCTTGAACATTCCTTATCCAAGATGGACCCTGAGGCCTCCACAAAGATTACCAAACGCGATGATGAAATTACTTGGTTACGCGAGCTTCTCGCGGTCAGACATGAGAACCTGCAGGACATTATTGCCGCCCTGCAAAGTGATCGTTTCGACCGTGACGCAGTGAAGGATGCGGCGATTAGACTCAAGGCCAACCTCCAAATGGAGGAACAGGAACGAGAGAGAGCCATGAACGGTGGTTCTGCGATCAACCTACCAAACATCGCTCAGACAATCCAGAACGCTACGCCGCGTGTGGCACAAACTATTGGCCCTCTTGCGGCTGCTTGGGGCAACTGGCGAAAGGGGAACCGCAGTCAACCATCGCTCAGTAGCCTGTCTGGCGTCCTCAGTTCGCCAGCTCCTCGTCGAAACGCGACGCCATCGCGTAACAACTCGACCTCCCAGGATAACTCGCTGGGTGGCCTCATGACACCTCCCGCTTCTAGCCTTCGTCAAACGCCTCCAGAAGACAATAAGCCTCAGCCTACCGCTTTTGCCAGCACCGGGCGCCGATTTCCATCACAAAGCTATGGTTCTGCACGAGCACGGGGAGCTTCAAACACCTCACATCGAGCAGAGCCCACTGTTGTGACGCCACCGCCTAGGGAGTCGGAAGATGAGCCCATGACTCCCACAATGATGCGAACTAGTGGCTACGATTCGGATGCCCAACCTGGAGACTTTGATGATAACGATTTCTTTGAAGACTGAACGGATTCGAAGACGTATCGGCTTCAGCAGGGGACACTCTGTCATGATTATTTATATTAATTTTTTCCTTTGTCAAAATCATCAACTACGGTCGATGCATACATATATGCGGTTCACATTATTACACTAGTTTCACCAAGACTGCGAACCTAGAGAGATACCCCCTTTTGGATTGATGTTTATGCCACACAGATTGGGATTATTTGTTCTTTATTTTAATGGAGTCTTTCGTTTGTCTCGCATTGTTCAACTTCATGATGAAGCTCGTGTTTGGGGGGAGGAGGACTGGTTAATGAAGAAGGCGGCCAAACCGAAACAAGAAAAAGGATTAAAAAAAAACAACGGCTGAAAAATGATTGTGGACCAACAAGTTTTGTTATTTTAGTTATTCCACTCACTGTCGTTTGCATAGCGGTGTGATGGACGTCAATTTGGCGCGGTACAGCATCAAAGACGATTGCTCGTTGTACATAATCATAATCTACACTCAAATGAATTGTTAAACAGATGCGACAAATCTATTGGAGTGACGCACTGCTGCTATGAAGATGGCGGCACACTTATTTTGGGCCAGGCTACAGTCACCAGATAGCTGTGTAGTGGGAACCCTTCTCTTGTTAACATTATGTGACATATAGCTATTAGAATCAACAAACAACCCCCACGATGTCCAAGACTACTGTTGTTTTCCTTTTCAGTGGTTACTGAGAAGCTTCTCTACTGCCCATTTTACCGAGAAATTCCGCAGGTCTGAATAGTGCTGACCAACTCCAACAAAAAGTACAGGGACATTTGTCGCGTGAACAAGACTAACAAGAGTGCCGACCATGTCACCAACAGTGTCACACTTGGAGATGATGAAGCCATCAAGTGTGCGAACAGCACCAAAAGCAGCGTTGAAATTGCGTGCTTGAGCGACTGAGTCGGTACCTACAAGAGCCTGAGATTGAGATTAGTTAATGCAGTCTGGGTTTCGAAGAACGGATGACATACCTCGCCAACCATGAGGATCTTGTCAGGTTGAGCAAATTTGGCAAATTTCTCAAGAGAAGACATAAGACGTTGATCGTTATGTCTTCTGCCAGCTGTGTCAATGAGAACGACGTCGTAGCCCTCGTGCGCAGCATGGGTCACGGCATCCTTTGCAACCGTAGCAGCATCCTTGCCATATCCTTTCTGGTAGAGTTCAACGCGACCACCTTCACGAGCCGTCAACTCCTTGAGGTTGCGGACGTGGACAGCAAGCTGCTCAACAGCGCCGGAGCGGAAAGTGTCGCCAGCGGCGATCAGAACCTTGTACTTATTCTGGAGGAGGAAGAAGCAAATTTTGGAGAGGTTGGTGGACTTTCCTACACCATTGACGCCCACAATTGACATAACATAGGGACGAGCCTTGCGGAGAGATGTCACTGGAGGAGCCGTGATAGCGTCGATTTCGCGAAGAAGGTCGAGGGATGATGTCGGGGTAAGCATCTTTGTGAGCGAGGCCTCCATGGCGGCTTGAATTCTGGCATTAATACCTGCGAAACTGGTCAGAATAGGGCCAACAGGATATGATAATTGTCCGTCAACGTACTCTCGAAACTGCCCGTTTTGACACCAAGCAGTTCCTTCTCAACACCTTCGCATAGACGGACAGCAGCCTCTCGTGCCACGTTCTTCTGAAGCAAGTGCTCCTCCATACCCTTCATAGCCTTGTCGAGATCTTCTTTAGTCAATGTCTTGCCTCCAACAACGTTGCGGAAAAGACCGCTAATAGCGCTGACGCCCGACCCCAAGAGGCCAGATCTGGTCTGTGTCTTTGCTCCCGCTGCTTTCTCTGCTTCTGAAGCTAAGATCTCATGCACCTCGTCACCAAGATCCTTGAGCACGAACTTGCCCTTTGATGTTGAGCCCCATGTGTTGGAGTCAATTTCATCGACAGCTGATGATCGCCCCATTGCCTCAACCTCCGAGTCACTGGTAGCATGCGTCTTTGCAGAATAGTCAAGCTGGACATCGTCTTCCTCGTCGGCGAAGCCATCGGCGTCCCATTTGCGCCCCTTCTTGGCGACTGCCTTCTTCTTTCGCGGCGCTTCGTCGCCAGAAGACACCGGAGCTGAAGTCTGGTTCTTTGCTTTGCGCGCTCGGCGAGAAATCTTTGCGATAGGGCCACCCTTTGCGACAAGGAGATGGTTATTCGGTGTTCCGGGTCGTGATCCGTTCGGCGTCAGGGCGGGGGTTGACTCGTCGGCTGAAAGGGTATCCTGGGGTCCATTGAGGTGGCGCCCTCGGTATGTTAGACCTGGCGCAACTGGAGGGTTGTCGCCAGTGTTTCCTGAGATGATTTCTTCTTCTAACGGGACTGCGCCAGCCGTGATGGTAGTGGAGGGGACCTTAGTACTAGTCTGGTCAAGCTCCTCGAGTTGTACGTCGAAGTATTCATCGAAGGCGTGGCATTCAACGAGGGTAGTATGCGGCTTGGTCAATTGTTCACCGTAGAGGTTGACGAAGATAGTCTTGATATTGTCAACGAGCTTGTCGACCCATGAGAGGTGGAGGAGGGATCTGTAGACGGCCTAAAGAGAGAGTGGAGACGTCAGCGCCGAGGATCGGGGAGAAGCCATCATGACAAGAAAGGCTCGGGACTCACGACGAAGATAACGCCCAATTCCTTAACCAGAGTCCATTTGAGAGTATGTTGATCGCTCTTGTAGGGAGTGTTGACAGCCGCGGACCTTGAGTCGCTGAGGGCAATAGCGCCGCTCTTCTCCTCGATAAAAGTGTCTGCAATGAAGTTGTTGATGATGGAAGGATTTATGGCAGTATAAGTGCGTGACCAAACGACCACGCCCGAGGTGGTTAATATTTCGAAGGAATCTAACATTTTGCGAGTATCTCTCTTGAACGTTGGACAAGAGGAATGATGATGCTGGTGGGAGAATTGAGGTGCAAGCCAACGTGGAGGCGAATATTCGTTGGTAGATGTGGCTACTCTAGAGCACAGAGTGGGAGACTAATGGGCACACCTAGTTAAAGATAAGATAAAACCGCTGCACATCAAAAAGAAAGGACAGGGACTCGACCCGGACACGCCGTTTGGGCCTAGGCCGTCCTTGGAGGAAGAAAATCCAACCCTAGGAGCAGCCATGTTACGATCATGGAGAGCATGACAATATGGATCAGGTCAATAGAGAACGTTCTTGGTTTTACTAGGTACCTAATGATAGAATCTCTTCTGAATAAACTCAGGCGCCTCTGCCTTCTCTGTTGGATTCGATATCGAAACAATCACGTGCGTGGTCCTTCTAACTTAGAAGGAAACAGGGGCTGACCTTGAGCTCCTAATCCTAATTGTGGCAGTGGAGGTTGCTAGGTAGTCTGGAGCTCTCCATGATGCTAGCGCCCAATCAGCTGAAATCGACACATTTCCTGAACTTGACCTACCAGACACTGAACAAACACCAACTTTACGTTTAACCTCGTCATCAGCCATCACCAACTCGCCCGAACTCAACTCAAGACCTCGACTCGGCGGGGAAAAGCAGAAGAATACACAGCGCATAAAGAACACGCACTCTCCTCCGTCATGCAGCGAGCGACATACGCGCAGTCGCCTCCCCTTCACCATCCAGTTCCTCAGCATGTGTCGACCGTCCCTCAATTAAGATCGCCGCCTCCTCCTCCAGGCTCCGCGCAATCACAGCAAGGCTACGCTGCTAACGCGGGAGGAAATCCATATCAGCAGCAGGGAGGCACCAGCGGCAACGTCTTTGGCCAGTATGGCAACTTCATGAACGACCCTACAGCGCAGGTGGCGGCGCAGTTTGGACAGACGGCCTTTAAGCATGGACAGGAGTATGTGGAGCAGAACGTGAGTCCTACCAGTAACACGGTGGTCTTGGTGGCACCTGGTACTAACTGCCGCGATAGTTTGGCCGATACGTCAATGTCTCCGCCCTCAAGCATTACTTCAACGTTTCTAACTCATACGTCGTCAATAAACTCTTCCTCGTCCTTTTCCCCTGGAGGCACAAGCCTTGGTCTCGTAAGCAGGCTGTCGGGCAGAACGGACAAGAGGGCTGGTATCTACCCCCACGAGAAGACATCAACAGTCCCGATATGTATATTCCAGGTGCGTAATGCAAGGTTAGAGACCGCCGGAGTTGGACGAGTTGGCTAATTGTAGTACAGTTATGGCACTTGTGACATACATTCTCCTGTCGACGCTGATCGCTGGCCTCAACAACCAATTCCAACCAGAGCTTCTTGGAAAGACGGCTACAGTTAGTCTAATTGTTGTCATCGTTGAGATCTTCTTCCTGAAGCTGGGATGCTACCTCCTGAGCATCTCTAGCCAATCCCAACTCCTTGACTTGATTGCCTATTCTGGGTACAAGTTTGTCGGGATCATTGTCACTATTGTCGTTGCCGAGATCCTTAACGGCGGCAAGGGTACCGGCGGCTGGGTTGGCTGGTTGGTCTTTGTCTACACCTACCTTGCAAACTCGCTCTTCTTGGTAAATTCCATGATTGCTTGGCAATGCAAACATACACCTGCTAACTATTTGCTTAGATGCGATCACTCAAGTACGTCCTCCTGCCCGAAACATCTGCCGGCTCTAGCGGGCCAATGCAGACGGACTCACGGGCGAAGCGCAGCCAACGCACAAAGTTTCTTTTCATCTACTCCTACTTTGTGCAGCTCTTCTTCATGTGGCTTCTCACCAGGGCATAATCAGCGATAGCCCACAATAAATCACTCGTTGTGTCCAGGAGACCTGCATTGCACTCAAAAGGGCTCAGAGACATCTGGGAGATATTAACATTGGTCAACGAACCATGGGGCGGAGACGGTAATGAGGGATGACTGGGGATGTATGATAGCAGCTTGATCTGAACGACGAAGCATAAAAAACGTCAAATGATTTCATTTATTCAATCCTGAGCTATAGATTTTAATGACATTTGCCTAACGCCATTACACGACCCTTAGGGAGAAAGAAAACACCAGACCTTAATATAGGATGTTAAAATAAACCCAGCAAAAGATATCCTAAACTTAGTAAAGATGTCCTAAATTTATGCAAATTTACCTAAGTTTTTTTGCCATTTAGGATCGAGGTCCTGAGTTTTCTTTCCTCCCCTAGCACGACTACTTACCTGCAGCACAATGTAAAGTAGGGGTGTATGTAAGGTAGTTGACATTAACCAATTAGACATGGCTCGCATCAAACTATATCTCTCTCTCCACACATCTCATGAATGATTCATCAGGTCCCTGTCTCTCTTGTTTCATCGAAAAACAACACCGCTTTCACGAGCTGCTTTTGCTAACCCTACAATCCAACTTGAGTAACCGAAAACATCCCAGCACTCTCAGTACTTGGGTAGAGTGCCCTCAGAAATCTTGGCTCGCCTATCTTAGCGCCGATCTCACTGTCTCAACTTAACACGTCTCTATTCTTATCAACTTTTCAACATCGTCTTCTCTTCCATTCACATGAACCCTTGATTTTTCGTACAATCATACCAAAAATGGACTATCCTCCCGTGGTCATGGCCACAATTCAGAGTGCTGCTTTGGGCGGCATCGCCAATGTCTTGGCTCAAGGCATCTCGGCCTACAGAGCTGGGGTAAATCTGGTATTTACATGCGCCTTGGGATGTCTGAATGCTGTTATTGACCATCTTCGTCTAGAATGATATTGTGATAGACTGGATTCCTGTGTTTCAGTTCCTCCTCTTCAACGTTATCTGTACACCACCCAACTTCTACTGGTATGTTTCTTCTTCCCCTTGAAACCTTCAGACTGACACGCTCCAGGCAAGATTTTCTTGAATCAACGTTTCCCGCCCATCCTGACGATGTCCCTAAAGCTAAGGACTCCAAGGACGCTAAAAAGACTCAACCCAAGCTTTCTATACGGAACACACTCATCAAGTTCTTTCTCGACCAGACTGTGGGTGCTGCTGTGAACACTCTGCTCTTTAGCACGTACACCCATGCGCTACGTTCAGCTATACAACCCGCTCCCGTCATCACCAGTCTGACCAAAGCCATCACGTATTGGACTTCGCCAGGCACTCTGGACTTTGGACGTGTTGACTGGGCAGCCGTTTGGGAGGCTTCAAAGGTCGATTTTGCTCCCCTTATATTTGCCGGATGGAAACTTTGGCCTGCTGTCAGCATTGTCAACTTTGCAGCGGTCAAGACTGTTGAGGGACGCAACCTTGTAGGTGCGTTGGCTGGTGTTGTGTGGGGAATTTATATGAGTCTAGTTGCTGCCCAGTAGACCATAGCGATGTAGGCTTCAGCGATAGACTCTGGCTAAGCCGAAGCATACAGGGAGACAGACAACAACTCAGTCGAGTATACACGGGATACCGAGAAATGCTCGGTGGGTAGTTCTGATCTAAATGGAAGCAGCAAAACATGGACATGTACGTAACCTCGAAACCTGAAATAAAACTTGTTGTATATTTGGCCGCTCTTCATTCTTTACGCTTGCATATCAAATTCCCAACCTCAAGCGTTCAAATACCTCAAACTACTCACCGACAGAACTTCCTGCAGTCATGCCAATTCCAAAGCGTCGGAGTGTGCTTGAGACGCTACATTCTCGACTTCTTAATCGAAAAGTGACTCGCAAACCGAGCAGGAGGAGTCGCTGGCATTTTCAAACAGATCGTCCTCATAACAGTCCTCCAGAGGCACATATTGCTGAGGTATAGAATTATACCGAGGAGAGGTTGTGTCTGTGACACCGAGACGTGATGTTCCCCCAACAGTATGACTGGAGCGAAACCCTGGCCTTGAAACGCCCCTGGTGCTTGCACTGCCAAAACGTCTCTGGGGAACGAATAGTTGGCCACCGGGCGTTGGGTCGAATATGGCTGGTTGACCATCGATATTGATCCCAATTGCTTCAATTGGGTGGTTGAACTGGTCAACTATACTCGAGGGCATTGGTGCGACCAGACAATTTATATCGTCTACTTCCGAGTTTATTACGAGATTGGACACGGGCGATGGCTGGTGTTCTGCCGTGCTTTCAGTCTGCTTGGCTGGCGGTGACGTTGGGCGCGCACGAGGTCTCATGAACCAATCTGGCTCTGGTGCCGTGGCAGAGACATCAAACTTGGTGAAGAGGTTGTCGGCAACTTGATACCAATGCATAAGCCAGGACCGCATCTTCTAGAGGTATTCTTCGGTTTGCTCGGGCTGCAACATTGTGCAGGAAAAGTTGTAGATGAGTGCCAGTACCCATCTGATATCCTTGGGTAAGTCGTGGCGGGCTTGAATGATGCATGACCATTCGCGAGCTGCCTCGAAAACCGGATCGCCATCGTATTCAATAGCCCGCAATGGCCTGAGGATGCTAAGATGATCAATGTTCTCACAGCATGGCTGGTAAGCCCGAAGGCCATCGAATGTCATGAACTCTAAAAGAAACATAGTCGGTATGCGAGGATGTTCGATCAAAATAGTTGACAACCTGCGATATGTAATGTGGGCAGAAGGTATCGCATTGTGGTCAGGCATGTCCAGAAAGACGTTAGAATCCGGCATGTCGACAACCCGACCTCGAATATCGTTGGTTGCAGTCGGAGGTAATCTCATGCTCTCATGCGCCATCGAAGAGAGTTGGATTGCGGAAGCCTTGAGGTCTTGAGGGTGGATCCAAAAGGCATAGGAATGCCCGTGGAAGAAAACGGCAGCACAATCTCCGCAGAAAGGCTGAATAACAGGTCGAGTTGTCCATATGGCATGATGACATTCATGGACTGGACAGAAGTACTATACCTGTCGCCCAGTGAAAAGGCTATAGTGAGACAATTGATGGCGCTCAAGGACACCGTGGGTGTCGGTGGTGACGGAGAAGCACTCGCACATTGTGATAGAATGAAAGTGAAAGACGATGATTTGGAAGGGTTTCCCGTGAATTAGTGCTTGTTTTCAAAACGAAAGATTGTCAGATATTTCGTAAAGTTGAACAGGATAGCAGTTGGATGTTGTCAGTCAAAAACCACCCAGGTATGCCAATAGGCCTATATAGAGTCCCTAAACTTAGGGCTCGAGGCAACAGGGCTTACCCACCTAGTACCTACCTATATTCTGTAGGTTCAGCAGATGGATGCGATATCCACCAAGGCACCTCAGGCTTGGAAGGATCCATCTGTAGTGTCAAGCAGGAACCATTGACGCCCATCGGACAATTAATAAAGGCCCAGGAGCCAGGTTGTTGGGCCAGGCGCCTCTTGATACTAGGTCAGCCCGGATACTGTACCTGCTCTAAACGCGCCACGCAGAAGCCATCGTGGAGTCTAGGTACCTCAGGCAAGGCGCCTAGGAGTACCTAAGTTATCGATAGGGAGATAGCTGCCAAGGCAGGTAGGCATTTACCAACCATCAAACTGGAAGGTCGGATCTGATAAGGGCTACCAAGAGATCTGGCCAAGCGTTTTGGCAAATCAAGCCCTTAGACTGTTGAACATGTAATCCAATGCTATGCTAGTCCACGAACTTGCCAAGGATAGGAAGAGATCGCTGCTCGTACGGCATTCACGTCTCTGCCCTAGGCTTTAGCAACTCAACAACTAGAATACGCAGAATTCATCAATGGAACCTTTGCGTCTGTGGTGGGCCAGGCCATTGCGGAGTTCCCCTACCTACTTGTGATACCAGCATTTCTGAGCAGCGGCCAAGTCCAACTTGGGACTGGAAATCGAAGCTTATTGACTAGCACGGTACCGAGAGCTTGGTGAGTTCGGGAGATGCGCAAGCACCCGAGTGCGAGCCAAACTCAAACAGGTAGGATAAGCAATGTGCACGAGGATGACAGTTGTCACCCGAAAAGCTAGTAAACTTACTCACCATCCATCATCATTGATCGATCGATTTGCTGCCCACGCTGTGTGAGACAAATTCCGAGATCGGTGGGTGCAAGCATGCCAAGGCGTCGGCTGCGCACCTCGTAACGTGCCTTCGAGATAATATCCCGATCTCAAGTTGGCCGATATGAAGATGGCTTCCCTGCTTCCAACACGGACAGCTCATGGCTGTAATGCTCTTAGCGCTGAAGCACGGCTGAGAGACAGTCTAGGTACCTAGGTAGGTAGAAAGTAGTTTTTGCCTCCGTACATAAGCTGCATGCCGTGGTGTTGCGCTACACGCACATAGTTCCGTTTTGCATCAAAAACCACATACCTAGTGTCGATGCAGCGAATCAGATATCGTAGTTAGCGAGGTGCAGTTGCATGCTTTTCGGCTATCGTCAGGCTCAAGTTGGCTTTGTCCGTCTTGCGATTGCAATTGCAATGCATGCTGCTTCTTCTTATGCGTGTTTGATAGCCAACATCGTCTTTGTTGCAATGGCAGGACTTCAAGTTAAGAGCGTTTGGATTAATCGCACTCAACATGGCATTATTGTGCTTGGTTGAATCCTTGAAACAACTATGGACCAGGATCCTCTCCATGGGGTTTTGTCTCATCGAATTTCTCTTATAAAATTCGCTCAGTTGAAACATCTCGAGTCATGGCACCGGCAACTTTCATTTTCGGTCACTTTCGACACCATCTCCTAGACATTGCCATCCCAACAATGTATGCCAGAAAACAGTTTCCATTTCGGGATGGCCTCTGTTTCTCCTTCTACTTTTGCCCATGGCTCCTCTTTCAATGATGCTGGTTTTCTTTCATAGGCCACCGGAGCAATTATTACCTAGCCTCTCTCGCCTCTCAACCCCTAGCGCCCATCTCTACTTGATCTCCAGTATAGTGCATGGCGTGTCCTAGCGTGTGTGGTCTGTAAGGGGTTTATTTCAGGCAAGTCCGAAAAACTACGGTGAGGTCTTCCTGATCTATTTGTAGAGCCAGACTGATGTGTTTGAATGACCTAGAGTTTCACTATGGGGAGTATCGCATAGAGCGGCTCTTATTCAGTGTCATATGAGTAAGAAGAAATCGAAGCTTGATTTAGAACCTGGAATCCAGGAATTCGCCGGCAGCCAAGAACCAAGAAGCAGGTACTGTAGTGGAGACAGCCACTAAAATGACCGTTCCTCTTTTGGTGGAAAAAGCCACTAAATTTTGTCATTCATCATTCATCACCCGCTAACAAACCCGTCCATCCACTCATGCTTCTTCTGCAGCAGGGCGCAAGGCATAAGAGACCCCACCAGGGCACATTACAGGCTTACAGTAGATCCCCAATCCTAGCACCTGCCTGGCGCTGGCGATTCAGAACTTCCCGTCCCGTACCAACCAAGGCCAACATAACACGCCCATACCCATTCAATTTCTTCCTGGCCACGACAAGACGATGGCTTCATGTTCTTCTTTGGGCTGAACGGACCCGAGCCTTTCTTTTCGCTTCAAATTACACGTCACTGATCGCGTGCGACTTCGACGGCCTCGATTATCACTGAGATCCCACCTCGAGGCCCCTCCAGTTTGCGACTGCAATGACGACACAAAATACGACCAATACCTCACCTCTCTCTCGATCTTAGGGCGCTCGTCGTCCACTTCTTCAGTAGTTGCTGAGCCGTATCGATTTCTGCCAGCCCTCATAGTCTCATAGTTTGGGCTTTGGCATGATCATACTGCTCAATGCCGCCTCCAGCTCTTCAACACCTCGGTCTTATCGACCTTGTCGCTTCTGACCCTCGACCAACATTTGTCGTTGCACTGCCTGAGCAGACATCCTCCAATATATCCCATTATTCGGCCGACATCCTGTATCGAAACCCTGCCTTACAGAACTCTTATACCCTCGACCACTCTATTGCCTCTATCCCTCAAGATGTTTCCCACTCGCCGTTCTGGAATTGGGTCACCAGCCCGCCGTCTGCGCCAACGTCTCACACAGATGCCACAGGTCCTGCACCAACAAATACGCAACACTCACTTCCATATCTTGGTGTTTACTGGACGCGAAGCATAGTTCTGGGTCAATGGGTGGTGATGAGTGGAAATGAAACGCCTCCTTCGTCAGAGCCCCCGCGCAAAGTTCGAATAGAGGGAAAGGAGGGCGAGACAACTAGAAGATATCCCCAAAAATCGCCACTGGACAATGCACATTTACCGTCCCGAAAAAAGTCGGAGAGCAAAACTCCACTGCATTATCGCGATGAATCAAACCCAGGGCTCATGGTTCCCGTCTCCGACTCCGAAGCAGAGCCATTTCTTGACGTGGTTCAAAATGTGGATTGGGAGTCGACATCTCTGGGACCCATGTCAGATTGGCCCGCTCAACTTCAGCATACATTCAATCAACTCGTCTCAGATTCGCGACCAGTGGCGCTCTATTGGGGTCCCGAGTATGTCACGATCTACAATGAGGCCTTTTCAAAATACTGTGGCGCTCGACATCCCGGACTTTTAGGACGACCAGCGCCAGAAGCTTGGCCTCATCTCAAGACTAGACTGGATGAAATCACGGCTTCGCCATCGAAGAACTATTCGAGTGCTGAGGATGAGTCCAAATTTTTCATCCCCTTGGCAGACGGCTCACATGAAGAAACATATGTCAAATCTTCTATGGTCCCCATTGTCCACGACAAGAAATGCCTGGGAATTCAGCACTCGCTACTCGAAATGACCTCAAGACGGCTTTGGGAGCGAAGGATGAAAATGCTTATCGATCTCGGTGAGGCCCTTGTCTCTACGAAGGATGCCAAGTCGTACTGGTCCAGGACGATTGAGGAACTGGAACGCTGGAGCCCTACCTACGATGTCCCATTGGCCTTTTTGTACTCCGTGGCAGACGACGAATCCGACATTACTCTTTCAAAATATGATTGCCCCAAGATTTGTCATCTTGAGGGCTCACTGGGCGTGCCAGAAGGACATGCGATTGCTCCTCAGGTCCTCAGCCTCAGGGAAACAGATGAGGGGATGGCTTCTGTCATGAGGAAGTCGCTGGATCACCGTCAACCAATTCTTTTGCAGACAAAGGACGACACATTGCCAAAAAACCTGTTGCACGGTTTAGCATGGCGCGGCTTTGGTGACCCTTGCCAGGCTGCCATCGTGTTGCCTATTCGTCCAACTAAAGAAGAAAACGCTATGGGTATTCTGTTCCTAGGCTTGAATCCTCGACGCCCATACGATAACGATTATCGGCAATTCATATCCTTGTTGAACCAGAAGCTTACGAGCTCCCTTGCTTCCACAGTTCTCTTGGAAGAGGAGGCCCGGCGGCGGCGCAACATTACCGAGCAGGCTGCCTACGATAATGCCATGCTTAAGCAACGACTAGAATATCAAACCGAACAGGCAGAGAGATCCATGCAAACGTTTACCGCAGTTGCAGACTTTATCCCCGTGGGTATGTGCTTTGTGGATGTCGAAGGTAATATCACGTTTGCCAATGATGCCTGGCACCGTATCACCGGATGTCCAAGAGGACCAATTGTGCAAAGCACACTTCTCGAGTCAGTGCTTGAGGAAGATAAGCAAAAAGTTATACAAGCATACAAAGACGTCCAGAAAGTCGACACTGTTACTTTCGAATACCGCATCACCCGAAACGATAACACAGCGGACTTCAAGAGCTTCAAGTCCTCTACAAGTTCTTTATCTTCAAACGGTGAAAGAGTCTTGCGTCATATCTTGGCTTCTACAAAGGCCGA